AGGATGACAAGTAACCACAATATGATTGTTAGAATCAAAATAAGATTTTTGAAACTATCTTATTATGCTTAATTTTAACCTGACATGTAATTAAGAGTAAACATGTTTCGGTTCTACCATTACTCCAGATTTCTTTCAATTCAGTATTAAAATGGACTACCCAGTTTCTTCTTTTTACCAAAAGTGTCTGTTACTATTTCTCCTTATCCTAGACTTGGGTTTATTGCTTGGTGGATTTTTCTCTCAACCATAACCTGCCCATTAGTAAACCATGTCTCAGACTGTCAGTCTTCTTGGATGACACTTATTTAATATTACACGGTATTTTTTCAACTGATATTTTCACCTTATGCTACTGTTAGGAAACTGTTGCAACTACTAGTAATCACAGAGTTGTGCTGCACCTTTTACCTAAAGGTAAAAATACCTTTACCTGGTATGCTTAGCTAAGCATAATTTCCTATGGTGAGACTGAAAGGGCACAGACATATTTAAACACTCTTGCAGTTTCTGCTAGAAGAGGTATGAAGTGGTTACTAGTTGAGAAGGCAAATGTATAAGCAATGACTCCACTCTACTATGTTCTAATTGATTCAATTACCAGGTTACAGGAGTACAGGACAAAGAAAATTATGAAACCAATAAATCAGTGCAAGAACAGCACATGAAGAGTATATATCATGTCAGCTATCACTAATATGAGTAACATGAGATTCTTTTGTCCCCATAGGGAATCAGAGCATACTACATTTTTCAGTCATATTTTGTGCAATTCTATGCAAGCACAAAAAGGCTTATGCACAGCTTTCTGAAAAATTAACTATTTCATTGTCCTATTTCTACTCACTGTAAGTCAGCTTTCCTTTATTCAGTGTGTGCTCCCAGTCAAGCATCAAAAATTACTCCAAGGAGTCCTAAAAGGATTCGAGTGTTATAGGGCTTGTTGTGCACACTGTCTGCTTGGCAAAGACTTGAGGAAATAAAAAGAGCTAATAATATAAGCCAACTAATGATAATTAATCTTTGTATCTTCACCTGAACATGTGTAATTGTGCCATTAACAGAGTGACCTTACATCAACACCATACCCTGCAGGCCAAAGCCCTTCAGGATTACAACCGGCATCCTGTCTATGTTCTCCTGCATAACTATGTACCTATGCAATTACCTTAATTGGTGAACCTGCAAATGTGCGAGTTTCTCCACTTGCAAATGAATATGTTTTGGTTTTGGTTTGGTTTGGTTTTTTTTGTTGTTTTGTTTGTTTGTTTGTTTTTGATTTTGGTTTTTTTTTTTCCATTTAAAGCTCTGTATAAAATCTCAAGCTAAATGTAAGTGGAAAGACAGTGAAATTCAGACATTGATAAATCCACTGCAGACCTTTGACCTTGCTTTGTCCTAGCTGGCTTGAAAGAAAAGGGGAAATATCATCTGCTTTTAGATATTTGAAAGCAGATAAATACAACATGTCTGATCATACTCCTTGTCAAATAAGCTGGACTGTATAGTGTACCAATGAACCATAAAGCAGAATCTGAAAATACTTTATGTTTTGAACATAAGATTTGCAGAAGTAGTCATCTAGTAAAAAATCTAAATTGAGAACACACTTCTACATTTTCCTCAGAAACAACAGTGTGTTTCAGGGGTGCTTTCACCATCATTAAATTTGAGTAGGAAAAAAAGCTCATGAACAGTTCATTTAACTTTTTGAATTTACCTTGAAGACCTGTGTACCTTTTGTGCAGTTAATTTCCATTAATATACTCACTGAACTATCAAAAATGGGGAATGTTAAGTAATATACAAAGAATAGGCTTCAAATATAAAATCAGAGCAGTAGTAAAATCATATTGCCAAACAACATCAACATTTCTGCACTAAATTATGACAATAGTGTCCAATGATGCATTTTAAATTATAAATGCATTTCTGAAAAAATATCAGCACTTCACAAACAAGTCATGAACAGGAAAAAGAAAATAAGTTTCTCAAATAAATTATTCATTATAACTCATTCTCTCCTAGGTTCAGATATAATATACTCAAAAGTTTTCCAAATGTTAACACAAAAGTAAGCCCAGAAACAAATTGAAATTGAAAAATATTTTCTTTTTAAACTAGAAGCATGTAGAGTCTACATAAGTGACTAATATGATAACCATCTACTCTGACAGCTCAAGTATCCTACTCAGCCTTTAAATTTCAATTCCCTCTTTAGCTACAAATATTTCATGTGCTGCTACAAACCATCAAAGTCATTTAGATCATCTGCAGAACAGCTCCAGACCTGTGCTGCATTTGAAGGTGGGGGGGAAAATAAGCTCTGTATCTTATTTCTTATAACTTACTTACGGGTTTTCTTTTAGGTTCAAAACTATCTGCTTAAAAATAAATGTTTCTCAGTTAGAGGCATAGACAAGAATTTTGGTTCAGTTACATATGTTTGCTTTTTATATTTGCTTCATTGTAAGATAAGGGTGACCTTTGATTTTACACGCCTCCCTAAATATTTCTGTCAGTTCCATTTCAACATGGTCAGGAACTGGTCAGTTCTTGGATGTTAATGGCAAAGACTATCATTCCATGAACTTGTCCCTGGCAGTCCATGGGAGGAGAGGCTGCAGGCCATGGCCTAGAGTACCAAGAAACACCCATACACTAGGCCCCCGTGCCCTCTCCAGTTTGTCTTCCACATGGCAGAAGCCATGGGCAGAAAGCCTGGTCTGTGAAGGTCTGGTGGCTTCAGCAGTCAAGAGGCTCACGTTGACAGAGGTGCAAGAGCCTCTGAGGTGCAAGCTAACTAAACTTTCACCAGTGGTGGTGATGTCAGCTCATGGTACACAGCTTTCTCCACTGCTAAAAATGCAGTTGCTGGTTCTTCCAGAATTCAGTGTCAACTCACTCCTGCCAGTGCAAACTTTCCCAGGCCTTAGATCTTTGGAGGACCAGGGGAAAAGTATCAACAGTGTTGACATCAGGAAAGTGATTCTGTCTTCTTCCTCAGACAGAAAATCACACAGGAAAACTTGACATTTCAGTTGGTTTTCCTTAAACTGGCTGCTGTAGTTCCTTTCTCTTCCCTAGTGCCTTTGGTCAGCCAATGACCAAACCCACAAGAAGGAGATAGTTCAAGCATCAACCTCCACATTGTCCCATGCACCAAGCAGCAACACAATGTGCAGGTGCAAAATAAGCCCAACTTCCATCTGTGAGGTCTTACACAGATGACTGGTGGAGTCATCTGTATGGGATAAACTCACCTACATGGCACAGAGAAAAGCTGGTCTATCTCTTGATAGACCCCTTTGGGATGCCTAGATTTCAAGAAGCAAAAGTTCATGGACATCAGACCTCGACATGCACTGGAGTTTCTACTGCACATGCACTAGGAACATTCAATACAGGGGGGCAGATGAAAAACAATTTAAAGTAATCCTTCCCCTCCTTACCCCATCATTTGTATAGGTTAAACTGAAGTAGTCAGCACCAGCTTCCATGATCTACAGATGTGCTCCTACTGTCCCATTCTACCTGCTAATGTAGATATAGCCAGTGATGCAGCTAGTGGTGCAATTCCCTCTGAGTACTAAAATAGCATCCGAGTAAGATGTTAAGGGAAGGAGTATAGTGAAAATGTACCATTTATGTGACAACATGGATAATTACAAGGTATTGTTACACTTTTGACAAGTTTATGAAAGTTAACCCCAGTATTTTGGCCCAGACCCAAATCTAATGTTTATATCCTGCTCACCCAGATTTCCCTCCTCATTTTCAATTGGAAACATCACAGTTCACTTCTTGCCCTGTGGCATTATCAAGTGCATTTCGATAACTCCCTCATTTTATCACTTTTCATCTTCTAAAAGGTTACATTTCTGGACTGAGCCAAAGAATTGTTTAATATAATTTATACCAGATTATTAAGTGCTCCGTAAAGAAAGACAAACTGTTATTAAGACTGTACAAAATTGCCCCTGTAATGCTAGCTTAAAGCAGAACTCTAGCCAACTTATGGGGGAGAGAGGGAAGAGCTTGGGTAGCTGGGCAAAACTTTTCTACATGGCAATTAGCTAATAAATACATCTACTTAGAAATTAAATACTGTATTAAATAGAGTGGAACCTTCAAAAGCAATCAATTTAAATAAGTTGAAGAGTGTACTTGGCCTAACACACTGTTCAAAACCAAAGTAAGGACAACATCTGCCACAGAGAAACATCTCGCACATTAGATGCGCTAATGAACACGACTATTTTAATTACATTACTAACAAAAATTTGATAGTTAAAACTCACTTGATGAAAGCAACTTCAGTGGTATCCAACACTTAACTGCCACCTAATAGTGCCATGATAGTTCAAGTGACTCTGAAGCAGAAAAAACAGCTAGCCTGTACCGAGGCACTGACAGAAAACATTTGCAGCAGAAATTATTTTGGAATAGAAACAGAATATAACACTATCTGTTTTGTTAGGGTTTTTTTTAAGAAAAAAAAATCCTCCCATAATGATTCTTGTCTGCCTTCAGCTGAAAAAAATACTTGAAAAAGTACTTGAAAAAAATACTTTGTAGAAGGCAGATGAAATTGTGAAAATTTAAAGTATTTTATAATGTTCTTTGAAAATTACCCTGAAAATCTAAATGTAATGAGGCAACATTCTCAGATGATACCCACATGCAGCACCATATTCTAGGATACTTAAATAACAGTAGAAGAGAATAGAAAGTATCAATTTATATGAACATATTATAACATTCAACTCAGTCAAATCACAGATCCATCAAACAGCTACTAGAAGATTCTATTCCTTGATTTCCTGTAAAAAAATGTACATCTTGCTGGTACATATCTCTGGGACAGGCATTTTTCATAGATCCATCAGCTGAATCACAGTTCAAGTGGTTTTATTTATTTATTTATTTATTCCAGGCAATATGACAAACCTGTCACTAGGTATGATGACTTCCAAGCAGAAATTTACAATGCCAAGACCTGATTTCTGCAGTAAAGTGAACAGAATTTTAGAGACTGCCACCTGGCATCCAACTCTGGATGTAAGGGGGAAGTATAAAATAAAAGTGACTCTGCATCTCATGAGACTGATAAACACCACCACCTAATAATCATGGCAAAAGAAAATAAAATGTTGCATTCCAACTTTACCTTCATAAGTCCTTCACTTCTTTTCATTTGCTCAACATATTTTCAAACAAATTAATCTCAGGAATCCATCTTCTAATTTTGATCTCTATGAATGACTGAAGAGTTTTTTCCTAATCTTCAGCAGAATCTATTTTTCTGGTTTGCAGCTGTCCCGCTATTCTCTTATAATCTTGCCTCTTCACTGTCCCACCCTCTCACCATGCTCTGACCACTGACTACACACTCTAAAGACTTACAATTATAAAATCACAGAATCACAGAATGGTAGGGGTTGAAACAGACCTCTGGAGATCATCTAGCACAACCCCTTTGCTAAAGCAGGTTCATCTACAGCAGGTTGCACAGGATCACGTCCAGGCAGGTTTTGAGTATCTCCAGAGAATGAGACTACACAACCTCTGTTCCAGTGCTCTGACACCCTCAAAGTAAAGAAATTTTTCCTCATGTTCAGATGGAACTTCCTGTGTTCCAGACTGTGCCCATTGCACCTTGCCCTGGCACTGGGCACCACTGAAAAGAGTCTGGCCCCATCTTCCTGACAGCCGTCCTTTAGATATTTATAAGCTTTGATAAGATCCCCTCGCAGTTGTCTCTTCTCCAGGTTAAACAGGCCCAAGTCTCCCAGCCTTTTCTCATAAGAGAGATGCTCCAGTCCCCTAGTCTAACCCGATCCTCCTTGACCAAAGGAAAGTGTCTTCCTTTTTCCAGATTTTCTCTCTCACCTCCAGGGTCTGGTATTCCTGAGGGCCAGCCTTAGCAGTAAAGACTGAAGCAAAGGTGGCATTCAGTAACTTTGCCTTCCTTGTAACCTTTGTCACCAGGACACCCAGCTCATTCAGTAGTGGGCCTACATTTTCTCTAGTCTTTCTTTAGCTACTGATATAATACTGTTATACTTGAAGCCCTTCTTGTTGTCCTTGTCATCCCTTGCCAGTTTTAATTTCAAGTGAGCCTTTATGACTGCTTTAAAAAATAAAAAGATGAAATTGTCAGTTAGTTATCTTCTACCACAGCCTCTGACTAAACATGTCTAGGTAACACACTACAACTCATTCACTTCGGAATGTGGAGTTGCTGATGGTGGAAGGGGCCTCTGGAAATTATCTAGACAAATTCCCCTGCTCAGAGCAGGGTCAGCTACAGAAGGTTGCCCAGGACTGTGTCCAGCTGGATTTTAAATCTCTCCAAGGATGCAAACTCCACAATCTTCCAGTGCAACCTCTCCAGTATCTGACCACTTTCACAGTAAAAAAGTTTATACTTATATTTAAATGGATTTTCCTGTATTTCATTTGTGCCTCTTTCCTCTTGTTTTAACACTGGATACCACTGAGAAAATTTTGGTTTTGTCCTCTTCACACACTCCTATGAGGTATTTCTGTGCATTGACAAGATTCCCCTAGAGCCTTCTCTTCTCCAGGCTGAACAGTCCTAGTTGATTCCTTCCTTTTTAATTCAACTCTTTTTTCAGGTTTACATTATCATGACACCAGCCAATAAATGGCAACACAAAAAAGGAAGTTCCATGTCTAATATTAGTAAAACTGAAACATTCAAAAAAGGAAAGTTCAGACAGTTATATATCTAATTTGTATACATGAAAAAACAGCACAACTAATACATTAAAGATTAATGCTAGGTTCAAAAGAGAATGAAAGCATCAGCTACTGATTTCCAGGGATTTAAAAAAAATAAGAGTTTGGAAAATGTGTACAAGGCCTGTATAACTAACTATGCTTCTAGAGGCCAAGGCATCCTTATAAATACTATACCCATATACTGCTGGAATAATGCACATATACAGTACTTGCAGATTTAGGATATTCTTTTAGGATTTAATAGTATAATAGACTATCATGTATTATTACAGATTACAAAGTCTTTTATCGATTTTTGCAACTCTTACAAAGATGACAAACTTGCATTGAACGAGAGGGAGAATATGGAGTCATTTACACAACTCTTCACATTCTGAGAGATGTTATAAATGAATATTATGGTAAAAACACATGGATTGAGCTAGAAATGAGAATCAGCCTTCAATTGCTTTAAGTACTTTTCTCTTTTTTTATGTGCTTTCAGGTCCTCTGAAAAGAAAGATTAATGAATCCTGGTTCACAGAAAAGTTTAAGGTTGATATGAAACAACAAAAATGTGTGGTAATGACCATGTTCCCCTAAGGCATTAGCAGGGTTTGAACAACTAATCATTAATTCCATACAGATAAACAAAAATCTTTTGAGGAAAACTTGCAGTGAGCTCTGAGAGTTCAAAACTTTGGTTTTGGAAAAACAATTTCTTTGTGTGCATATATGTGCATAACATCGTCACACATAAATGGAAGAGATGAAATACATCATATGGCAAAAGTTTTATTAAAAACAAGAAAGAAGATGAAATGTTTCAAAGAAAAAATGCATAATTTGTATTCATAAGTCTTTACGTTTGCTTATGTTTGCTTATTCTAGAATTTTTTCCTTATTTAATAGTTTATTATTTTTTAAATTAAGATTATACTGTGGTATATTCTCCTTCACAGAGAAGGCAGGTCTTCTTTGTGTACAATGCAAAAACTTGGGGATTAAGTGAGGGGAAGCAGAAACTTGAGTCAACTCTGTATTCCCAACAGCTCAGCTGACAACAGAGAGAAAGACTAATTGGCTACTGGAAACAGCGGCCAAACACTTTCCAATACAGAGCAGGCTAAGGCCTCTGATGTGACACATTTGTGAAAGCTCATTCCAAATGTAATAGCACTGTGCTGACCAGTATTTATTTATCTACAGAATTAATACAGGTGGGCACTCCCTCCTATAGCCTCCCTATAAAATACATGCTCATGCACGCACACACACACAGAGCAATACAGTAGTGAAGGAAGTTCCTATCTTTATCCCTACCCTCCCTGTAATGAAATAGATCTTCAGCTCTTGCTAAAAGTTCATTCACAGTTCTCTCACATTCACACTTTTTGCCTTGATAAAATAACAACGAATGCTGAGCTCTCAAGCATAAAAAGAATCTGCTGATCAGCAAAGTGAATTTCACATTATATTTCTGAAAAGCAGAACAAATTAAAGGTTTAAACATGACATAGAGACAGGAAAAATAAGCAAGCTATCATTTTGAGTATACAAACACATATATAACATGCATACATCAGGACTGGCTTCGAGTTTACATACTGATGTGCAAACCAAGCAGTGTTTATCCCTGTAAAACACAACATTGCCCTCTTTCTTTGTTGGCGAATAGCCACAGGAATATTTTTTAATTTCCCAGTATCTTTCTCTCCTCTAATCAGTATGTGTATGTGCCTCTACACACTCATACTTGTGCATTTTTTCCTTCACAGGGATTAAATGGAGTGGAAAACTGATGTCTAGAATGACCCTTCCTAAAACCAGTATCCTGTGACCTGAATGCAACAGCATGAATTGCTAGGTGAGTGCTGCTAGCAGACCCTGCAGTTTTTTTCTTGGAACACACTTCCCAAATGCCATATAGAAGCTGTTGTAGCACTCCTGTCCAGGTGGACAGTACTTACGTGATGGTGTCAATCATATCCAGTCCCATTTCAACACAGCAATGGGCATGATCTGTTTTGGGTTGGGTCAATCCTGATACACAGTAGTAACAGTCCCCTAGGATTTTTATTCTTCTGCAGTGGTTTTCCTTTAATAAAAACAGATTGGGAAAAGTTTTACTATTCATATAAATATTTCAATACTTACAGGATAAAATCTTCTCCAATATTATGCAATCATTCAGGGAATCCTTTTGTGGTCAAATGAAGCAAGCTACAGCCCATGAAATCTGTGTTTCCTGTACAAAACAGCTGACATACACATATTTGGTTATTTATTTATAAATACACACATATATACTGGAGATTAGGCCTGCATTGTTGAACATACATGGGGTACCACTGCTTAAAACTATAGTTCTGAACAAATATCATACTTTTGCCCTCACATTAGATCAGCAGAAATTCAAGATCTGCAGTGAGACTTCATTTCTGTATGAATCCAAACCAAAGGACTGAAGCCAAACAACTACTGAATAGCAGGAAATGTTTGTTTTCTGAGCTTTATTTCAAATCAAGTTTCAACTTATCAGGAACAATAATTACACAAAATAACACAATTTACAATACAGTGTGATCAGTGTAAAACACACTTGCAGATCAGAAGATACAGGCAGTTTGCATTACCATTGAATTTATTTCCTGTTTGCATACAGTTTAATTTCTACAGCCAAAGAGATCTGGCTAAATCTCTCCCATTTTGAAAAACTAACGATGGCATGTGATGATTATTACATCAATCTGAGTAGAAAGCTTACAGTTACAGAAGCAGTGCCTTTAAATAATAAACTACGAGGAGACATGAAGAGATTAGGGCATCCCTTGCAGCTAAACTATGGCAACTTCTACACATTTAGAGCATGGCACAGAAAAGTAAATAACTTGATTAAATGAATCCAACTTACACAGCTGGAACTATGCCAGTAAGTGCCACGCAAAATTAGCTGTTGTGAATATGATGAGAGAGGATTAACAAAAATGTGATTCCTCCACCAGCAGTGTGCCATATAGACTTGACTTCAGTGGCACAGAAAGGTAAAAAAAAAGGGTTCTGGTGGTAGGGAAATTTAAAATTTCTGAAAAAAGTTACCTAATCATACTGGTTCAGTTTCTCATACAGGCACATATTCTCAGCCATTCTCCTACCTATAGGAATCAAAACCTTCCTGAGTTGACCACACTCTTCACATCATTATCTGTATTCCAGCTCAGAAGCAATGGTTATACCTACAAGCAATCCCTATCTCTCTGACATGTCATACACCAGCATTTGGGGCTTGTTATTATATACTCTTCTAGCTGCAGGCATTCCCATGACTGTCGTCTTTGTAAATGTTTCTGAGTACTGAACAAATATTATAAAATGAGAATTACCTCTATTCAAGCATGGAAGAAGGCATGCTAACACTGTTTGGGAAAATTGGTTTGTCTACTTCTTTTTATAAATTAAGCAGTAAGTTCAGAACTTGAATCAAAGAGAGTCATCTTTTTTAGGTATGCTTAACTAAGTCTTTTCCAAGAGTGACTACTTAACATTTCTTTTGCTGTACAGCAGAATTTTAAATATACCACTATTTATCGTTGCTAATACATATTTTAATGAATATGAGCATAATTATTCTAGAAGCATTATCATTGAAGCCTTAGAGTATTCCCACAACCTATAGCCACAAAACGCCTCACCGATTTAATTTGGAGTTTTAATTGATCCTTGGCTAAAAGTTATATAATACCATATAATGAGTGAAATCATTATTGATGCAAACAAAGTAATATCTATCCTGAAACAAAACAGGCCTTCCAACTCAAGGGTTTTGGAGAGAAACCACTAAAGTTTTTAATAGAAATCACTAAGTTTTTTAGTAGAAACCCCTAAATTATGTTGCTAAAATAAGCCACTTTTTAAAATTGTGGGCAAATCTTGAAGTAGTAGAGGGTACTCAGTAGTTAAAGCTGTAACATACTGTCCAAACTAAATCCAGCTTTGGCCCAAACCTTACAACCCTCTATAAAGCCCTTTTCATCTTCAAATTTGGTATGCATGAATCGTGTGCAGGCAATGGCTATTTGACCCAGTTGAAAGTTATCCAGAAAAGCCATTTCAGTAATCTTGGGTGAACAACAGGTGTGTGTTAATCAATTAGTGTTCTCCCCTATTCAGTGTGAACCTCCAAAATGGCTCATTTGTAATGACTTGGTTTTCTTAGAGAGCTTACTGTACTATAGAGCAGTACCGTACATTTTGTAAGGGGACACACAAAATTACTGTCATATTGGGACAGAAGTCTAGCAGCCTGGTAGAGGGAGGTCATTCTGCCCTTCTACTCTACTCTTATGAGACCCCACCTGGAGTGCTGTGTCCAGCTCTGAGGCCCCCAACAGAAGAAGGACATTGAGCCGTTGGAGGAGGGCCACAAAGACAATCAGGAGTCTAGAGCACCTCCCCTATGAGGCCAGGCTGAAAGAGTTGGGGATATTCACTCTGGAGAAGAGAAGGCTCCAGGGGCACCTTATTGCAGTCTACCAGTTCCTGAAGGGGTCCTACACAAAAGCTGGGGAGGGACATTTTACAAGGGGACATAGTGATAGGATGAGGAGCAATGGTTTTAAACTGAAGGAGGATTTATTTAAGATTGGACTTAAGGAAGAAATTCTTTACTGCGAGGGTGGTGAGACACTGGCACAGGTTGCCCAAGGAAGTTGTGGATGCCCCCTCCCTGGGAGTGTTCAAGGCCAGGTTGGACAGGGCTTTAAGCAGCTTGGTCTAGTGGGAGGTGTCCCTGCCCGTGGCAGGGGGAGTTGGACTGGGTGATCTTTAAGGTCCCTCCCAACCCAAACCATTCTGTGATTCTATTATTCTGTAGAGAAAGAAAGAAAAGAAAGAAAAGAAAGGAAAGAAAGGAAAGAAAGGAAAGAAAGGAAAGAAAGGAAAGAAAAAGAAAGAAAGAAGAGAAGGAAAGAAGAGAAGGAAAGAGAGAAGGAAAGAGAGAAAGAAAGAGAGAAAGAGAAAGAGAGAAAGAGAGAAAGAGAGAAAGCAAGCAAGCAAGCAAGCAAGCAGGCAAGAAAGCGAGCTCAATCCAGTACCATGTTTCCAAGTCAGTTCATTATTTACGCAGGAGAATTACAAAAGAAAAAATAAGATAAGGACTACAGCATTTTCTGGAGAGATACTAATTTGATGGAAGGCATATGGCTAAATTGCCTGCTGTTTTTGAAACCACTGCTATGTGCCTTGTCAGATGTTATCCTCACTGTCCTTATTTATAATAATCTATTAATATACAGTAATCTCTAGCAAAATCACTTGTTTTCTTTTTCTCAACATGTGAGGCAGACTTCCAGGAAAGAGATGCAGTGCAGCTCTGTAAGAGCAATCTTTTTAAGGATTTATATGCAAATTAACATAAACCCCCCCTTTCCCTCTCTTTGTTTTGTTTCCTCAGCGACTTCCAAAGAAGTCCTTGACTCAGCAATATTTTTCACATTTGTGTTAGTGATGAATTCAAGTGTGATAGTTGCAAATTCTAGGCACAGTTGACACAAGCAACATCTGTTTAGAAACAGCTGATAATTCGGTTTTATGCACATGATAAAAAGCACCAGAGATTGCTAGCACTGCATTAGCCAGGCAGCTTGCCCACCTGTGGTGCCCTACTGAGACATTTCCAAGCGGATTTGCAGAATTCCCTCTGGCGCAACTGTCAGTCACAGGGTTTGTCAGTGTGAAGTGGAAGCCCAGCTCAAAAAGCAGAGGATACTTCAAAGTTGCTAAGAGCTTTCTTTACACTTTCAGACAAGCACTTTATAAAGCAGTTAATTCCACCTATCTGTTAGGTGGAACTGGGGGGGAGGGGTGGGGGGCTTCTGTTTCAAACAACTCTGGGTTTTTGTCATCGTAATTCTTTATTTAAATTTCTTTTGCAGAAAGAGTGAAGTCTGCCAACTTAGACTGCAAAACAGGAAATTCAGACCATTAACTCAATTTTCTTGTACTATATAAGTCAAATACTGTTTTGCATACTCAGGACAAGGCTGGGGTTTTTTTAACAAAAAGTAAAGGGAAAAGAATTTACAGTTTACTCATATATATATATATATATATATATCGATCTATATATATATGTATACATATATATGAATGTTGTCTCAAAGAAATAACAAAGTTTAAAGTGCTTTCAGATCTCTCCCAGCAGAACATGTAAGCAGAGAGATTGTACTGGATACGTGCAAAGTCTTTTAAAGGAGGACCTTTCTCATGTGTCAGATTGCAACAATTCTTATTGTCGCTGCTGGGGTTTTTGTTTTGTTATGTTTTGTTTGGTTTGTTTCATCTTTACAGTCTATCCAGTAAGTGTTTGTTACATTAATAGATCCAAAGAAAGCTTTTATTTATTTTTAAGATGGCATATGTTAATGCAGTAGAGTCCCTGCTCTGTCTTCTGTCACTGCAACAATCTATGTGTCATCATGGTATTTGAGCACCTATCAAAGTGAGCCAAAAGGAAGGTCAGATAGACTACAATTTTAAAAAGCAAGATTTTAAAAGCTAAACATCAAACTTTCTCTCTCATAACTCCAATAACTGCAGTGGAATTACACCAAGGATTAGTGTCACTCCATGTGACTTAATTACAATGTATTTTATGCTTATTATACACAACCATTTCTTTTTCTGCAAGCCTAACAACCTGATTTGCAGCTATGCTCTTCAGACTTTTACTGTCCTACCCTCCTGGAATCACAGTCTATGAGTGGGAGGAATTTTATTTATCTATAAATTAGAAAGACATTTTTTCTGCTGTTATACTAAAAAACCTGCATCAGCTAAGATACGTAAAAAAGTTTCTTTACCATATTCAGCCAATTTGGATTTAGCTATGTAGAATAAGAGAAAAGATTAATAAGGACTACAAAAGGATGCACAAACAGCAATTCCCGTTTCCTTTAACTCAGACCTTACCAGTCTTATACTCTCCTAGAATGCTTTTGGACATGAGCAGTAATAACATTTAGATTTGTTTAGGCTAGAAAAATGTGAACAAGAGGTTGGTCACCTCCTATGATGCTTAGTGCTTGCCAAGAGTGTTAA